TTGATTATGAGCACTAACAAAGAGACCGACATGATTTTTCAATATCTTTTTGTGCTTCCAATCCCTAAAGCCGATCTTAGTGAATACATGTCCACCCCCTTGACCTACTCTATCCGGTTTGAACAAGTAGCAATACAAATAATACATCGCATCATTTTCTATACTGTACTCCAACCAATCAAATTCAGCAAACCATTCTTTTCGAAAACACCTGTTATCACTTTCCATCCGTCTTCTTAGAAAGTCATGTCCATGTGGTTGACAAGGACATTTCTCTAAGTATGACATCCTAACATTATCTCTGATATTAGGATCATATGACTCAACATGAGGCGTTTTCCTAGATCAGATACAAGATCATCCGAATTGAATTGAGCCAAAGACTTTTTTGTGTTATTTAACACATCAGCTGCTCGACTAGAAGTAGTGGCGGGACTAGATGCACCACTAGAACTTGAAGAAATAGGTATGGACTTTCGTTTTGGTTGAAAAAATCGTTTCGTAATCTACAATTGAAATATGCCCCAATTTATTTTTCTAGCTCAATCGATTAAAAAAATAAAGTACACATTATTTGAATTAAGAATTGAGATCGTAAGTCCCAAATGGCAAATGGGCTAAAATCCAAATCACAACCCAATCACCCTAAACCCTAAATTAAAATTCGTAATTTAAAATTTCAAACAATAGTGCAAGTGTGCAACACATAAATAGTGAACTAATTTCTCATAATCTCATAAGACACAATCTCATTTCAAATTTATGATAATGATACAACTAATTTTCTCATTTCAAATCAAAATCAGTGAACTGAAGTCTAAAATTGAAAAGTGTCAATTAATTCCCAATTCCAATTCCCCCAACCCAATTATGAGCAGAAAAATCATATATATGATATAATACATGATACAACATACTGAACATAGTTACATAAATTGATTTCTTAACTCACAAATAGAAAATAACACCGAAACCAAAAAATATAATAATAATAATAATACATGAAAGTTAAAACAGAAAACTTACGGTTTCTCCAAATCTTGTGGGCATGTGACCACTGACCAGGGGCTGAGTCTGCTAACGGAGACGGAGTGACGGACGGTTGCAGCTTGACGGCGGGCTGGTGGTGGTGGATTAACCTACCGGCAGCAATGGACAAGACTCGAGAGATTGGAGAAGCTGAAGATTGGGAATTTGGGGATTGATTTTGAATGAAGGGTTAATGAGATTTGGGTTGGGCCTATATATTATATAATTAAAGATTGGGCCCAGAACAAATGGCCCAATCCAATTACAAAATAAAATAAAATAAAAAAAGATGATGGGCTGGGCCGCATTGGCCCAATTTCAAAACAAAAAAAAGACGGGAGAATGGGTGAAGAAGACGAACCAGGCTGCCGGCGAAGTGAACTCCCAAACTGCTCCGACGGTCAGGCGGAGCCCAGCAAGCGTGGCTGCGCCCCTTGACTGGGTGATGGGTCCGTCCCTACTTACGAGGCAATGGGGCTACATACCCCATTTACAACATCACTCAATTCATTAGCTAAACTCATCCATATTCACTTACGAAGCAATCGGGCTCATCTCTTGCTTTTTGTTTATCGAAAGCGAGTTCAAGAAGTCAATTCCTTTCGTTTAGTACGAGGTGGGTACTTTATTTATATTGCACTTTTGATCTATCAAAGTGCTAAACATCTATTTATATACTAAATTTATAAATATTATTTTTTGTTTCCAAATAAAATTACTAAACCTAAACATCTATTTTTGGCAAATTTATCTATAGTGAAAATTAAGTATTCAAAAATGTGATAAATAAACAATGAATCTTTTCTCAATTATTTCTTATCTCAATACTTGTGAAATTTTAGAAACTTTTAAACTTGGAAATTTAGTATTCACAAAAGACTAGAAAATCATTAGGAATATTTTTGTTTCTTAGCCCCTATTTGATAGGGATTAAAATTAAAAATTTAATCTAATTCAAAGTAAAAATTTAATTTTAATCATATATTTCATAAGATCTAAAACTTTTCAAATATATATTTTTTTAATTTTTATCAAAATCTACTAAAAATCTAATTTTAATTCCCACCAAATAGGCACCAAATTGTCGTTCGAAGTTTTAATTTTGGACTTGGGCTCAAATTATGCTAATACGGTATCTAAGAAAACATGTGGGCTGGAACAATTGGGCCGAGAATAAGTGATAGTAAGCGTTGAAAAAAAAAATGTTTATGGCGTAAATAATGTAGTACAAAATAGAATAATTAGTGAACTATATAACCATTATGTCAATTCAATACATGCAAAGAGATTTAAAAATGTAATGATAGGAAATGATTTCCTTATTTAATAGCTTAATGTTAATATTATATTTTTGTAATACTATTTAGCATTATGGTGCATAAATATCATTAATTGATAAGACATGAATCTCATTTAAGATAAATTATCATTTAGAGACACATAGATTGGAGATAAATATCAGTGATGCTATATATCATTATTCTAGAAAAAACGTTAACATTTTTCATCTTATTTTTGAAATGGAGTTTGAAATCGACATTCTCACGAACAAGAAGTGTAATTTTACCTTCAATATAAATTTATTGCTTGAATGTAAAACCAGAAACCCTTCATTTCAATTAGGGTCAGTTTGATTGCAAGAATGAAATTGGGTGGAAAAAAAATGAATTTCAGGGAATTGAATTGTTTAGAACTTGTTTTACTGAGAATTGTCAATTCACATGAAAAATATTGAAATTTTGAATTTTTTGGTGTTCGATTGTCTTTATTTTTCATGAAAATTGTCCAATAGATATAATTTGTTATAATTAAGGATGAAATTTGTTTCCATTACCAAAAACAATTTTTTTTTTTAAAAAAAGGTTGCCTAGAAAAACTTTTCCCACCAAACCCATAGGAAAAGCTTTTCCTCAAAAACTAAGAAAATATGGAAAACCAATTTCATGGAAAATTTAGTCAATCAAACATGCAAAAACGTGGAAATGAAATTAATTTCCATCTTCCATGAAAAATAAAGTCAAATCAAACAGGTCCTTAGTATTTTTCCACAAAAGTAGACACAAGATAAGAAATTCAGTGGGTTTAGAACATCGTGAAACAGTTAAGTCCATATTCGATGTTGCCCTTATTCATATATTGGAATCACAACAAAACGTTTGTACAAGATATAGTAAATTTAAACAAGTTCGTAAATTCATAATAAATCCACAAACATCCCAAAAGAATCGTTTTCATTCTTCCAATATCGTCAAGTAATTTGCATCATAAAATGAATTCAAGAAAATTTTCTTCACTCTCTATTCCCCTTGAGTCAAAAGAGAAGAATCTCAATAATGATATTAATCACTTATATTTTTATATAACCCTTATGTGATGTTGATATTGTGAAAAATGATTGGAGAAGGTGTTAAAAGGTAGGAAAAATAATGAGAAAATTTCAGAATAAAAATAAAAAATTTAAGAATGTGTAGAGAAAAACTAATTTAAAAGAAAAAAAAAAAATCATTTTCAAACAAATTTATTCTAAAGTTCAAAGTAATACAAAGAGTACAAGTGGCCAAATGGTTCCAAAGCTAAAGCCTTTTGTTTTGATGAATGATAGTGACCAATCAGAGAATTTAGAAAAGCATTGCCATTATTGTTCTTTATTTATAGACGTGTTAGTTCAGTTTACGTAAAGCCACGTGTTTAAACCTTTTGAATTTTTGCACTTGCTCAATTTTTTTGTTATTTATATTTTTATAATTTTACACTATCACTGATGGAAAAAAAAAATTTGTTCAACCCGGTACTCGTAGGACTCCGTCTCGAATGTGGCGGAGATAACCCACCTAATCGGGTAATCGGGTCGAGAATGGGGTGTGAGTCCCCTGAAGCGGGTACAGACAACATAATCCCCGTCCCATTTAAAATTTAAGTTTTTTACCAAACAAAAGTAAAAAATTTATCATTGTTTTTAAAAAGAATATGAGTTATTCTTAACAACTTAGAAAAAAAAAATTTATTAACTAAAAATATAAAATAAATAAAAAACAAAAACAAAAACAAAAATTAAGAAGGACCTACCCCGTCCCGTCCCGCTTTATCTGGGTATGAGGATGTGATAAAGTAATAAAAATATTGGATAGGACGTGAGTAGGAATGACCAACCAGTCTCATACCCGTCCCGTTGTCATCCCTAACAACCACATTAAAAGTAAACATTTTTTTTCCTTTTGAAAAAAGCCACATTCAAATTCCACTGCATTTAAAAATAACACGTTTCTAAAAGTACTCTAATTCTCTTTCCAACTTGTATTATTGAAATCGCGTCACTCTTACTAAATAAATTTCTTTCTATGCAAAATATATCTCGACTTAAATGTAGGGATGGCACAACCTCCCCGCCCCGTCTGGTAATTTTCAACCTCGTTACCCGTTTAAGGCGAGATGGGACATGGCTTACTGCATTTATATATATATTTTTTATTGTCATCTTTCATTAAAGTGGGACAGTGATATATTTATTAATTTTTAAAAGTTAAATTATTTAAATATATTTGATAAAGTAATAATTTTATTGTTTGTCATATTCTTTACATAATTTTAATTGCCATTTTTTTATTAAAACTAATGAAATTTCGTGAAATTTTCATTTAAAGTATTGAATTTTTAAATAAAAAATTTAAATGGGGCGGGATGGGACCTTGTTATCCATACCAGTCCAAGGCCGAAGTCCACCGTCCAGACCAGAACAATTAAACTGGTAATCCTCGTCCTGTTCGGGACGAGGCCCACGTATATTGGATTTGGCGAAGGGAAAAAAGGAGTCCCATCCACACTTTTTGTGAAGCCATTGGTTCAAGACACTAAGGCTCCGTTCTCTTTACCATTTTCAGGCCGTTTTCTGTTTTCAATTTTCAAAAACAGTGAAAACGCGTTCTTTTTCCTATTTCTGAAAACACGTTTTTGAAAATGGCAAATTTTTTTTCACACAAAACGTGGTTTTCCACGTTTTGTGAATTTTCAATCCAAAACAAGGTGAAAGGCCAAAACGCGCCACTGTTCCGAAAACACGGGAAATGAGTTCAAAGTCTCCAACCCTCTTCCTCTTTCCCCCTTCTTCCTGGTGGACCTTTCTCTCTTAGAAACTGAAATCGAGCAGCTCCCCCTGCCAAATCTCCGGGTTCTCTTTTTCAATCAGGTTTCCCATCTAGTTCTTTGCCTGCTATATTTTTTGCGGTATGTTCGAAATTATTTTCCTTGGGTCAGATTTCGTACCTGCCAAATCTGCGTGTTCTCGTTGTTTCGGTTCGTTGATTTCCCTATTTGATTGGTGGTTTGTGATTTCGGCTTTCTTTGGTGTTCTCGTTCTTTATCAGTAAAAGATTTGGAGGTTGTGGTTGTGCCATTGAGGAAATTTGCTGGTACCAGTTTCTTCTTCTTACCTTAATGTGAAATTTCACTCAAAAATGTGGATTTTAGGGTTCTTTGGCAAGGCTCGATGCTATCACCTGTAATTAAGTTCACCAAATTGTTTTCATTGTCTATTAGGTATTTAATTAGCATGGGATCTGCTTTCGTAGACAGATTGTGCTCTATTTGTGTGATGGAACTCTGTAGTCCTCCTTAACTCATCCAAAACAAAATTATTGGAAGGCTCATTTGAGCTGTTACTACGTTGATTGAGATTTAAAATTTCTTAATTTAAAAATCTGTTAGGTTAAGGAATTTGATAGCTTTATTTAAGGTTCCTGACTAACTTTTTAAATAATTATGTGGAGAAAAATATTTGATTATTATTTTTGTAATCATATTGATGATGAATCCCAATATAGATTGCTTAAACCTCTGTGTTGACATATGTGCTCGTAATATTTTGCTGGTCTTAATGGAATGTATAACCGGGAACTGAAGGCAAGAGGGTGCAGTTGCATATTTAGTTGAAAATAAATCCTTGGTTTTTTTATTTTGTACCCTTTAATTTGTTGATATAACTTGGCTGTAAAGATGAGTAATCTGAAGTTTATTGGTCTCTGATACAAGACAAAAGTCCTCTTCATTGTTTCTTTTTCTTGGGTTGTTTGGTCAATTTCGATAGAATATTCTGATCACAGATGAAGTATAAAATTGAATTTGTTGTTTTAGCACGTATACTTTTCATGATTTTGAAAACTGATTGTAAACTTACCCGTGTCTGCTTATGTTGTAGGTTTTCAACTGGCTTTGGAGTCACTGGTGGTAGTGCTTTGATCCATGAGTTTTATGCTAGAGAAGTTTCAAATCCGGTTCATTTGACTGTTGATACTGGATTCAAAAATGGAGAGGCTGCAATAAAGGGATTTGTCTCAATTAATTTATCTCCTGGAGATCAACAACTTGCTGCACAATTTCAAGAAATTCCATTGGACCTACGCATGGTTGAGGCTGAGTGTGTTGGTTGTATGTATCTGACCTTGAAATTTATTGAAAATTGGACATTTCATTTGGATATATTGGTACAGGTTTAAGCATGCTTAATGGTTGAAGTTTCCTTTAGTACATGTACATTGGGCTACTATTTATTTAAAGTGAAACTGTATGCTTCTTAGTACCTCTAATTTGTAAGTTTCTGATTATAAAGATAAATGTACATTTATTCTGAGTTTCATTTCTGCCTCATTATATGTTTCTTTCCTTATTGTTTTTATATTTATATTTATATACTACTATTGTATACCTTAGTTGTCTTTCTTGCTTGACACCTCATGTTTGGTAGTTAATTAAAAAAAATTCTGTTTCAGAATTTAACTGTAAGGTAGAGCATCTATGTTTTGGATTACTATGTAGTCTATGTTGATGAAAAATCTTAATGGGAGTGTTTACAAC